TACTCACCTGATCTGGCCCCCAATGACTTCTTTCTTTACCCAAAGATAAAAGAAATATTGAAAGGAAGACATTTTGATGACATTCAGGACATCAAGGGCAATACGACGGCAGCTCTGATGGCCATTCCACAAAAAGAAAGAGTTCCAAAATTGCTTTGAAGGGTGGACTAGGTACTGGCATCGGTGCATAACTGCCCAAGGGAAGTACTTCGAAGGTGACCATAGTGATATTCAGCAGTGAGGTGTGTAGCACTTTTTCTAGGATGAGTTCGTGTGTGTGTGTGTGTGTGTGTGTATGTGTGTGTGTGTGTAAAACCGTGACGGGGTTGACAAGTGTTACAAGGAAAAACAATGCTCCGGGGACTAGATGAGCATTAATGAGGGGTGAGGTGATGAGTGGAGGTGATGGGGGGGCGGGAAGGCAGGTCCTGAAGAACGCAAAGGAGCCAGCTGTGCTGAGTGAATGAACGGATGCGTGAATGCGTCAACTGAATGGAACCCAGAGCTTTCAGGCCTGCTTACTCTAGCCCAGGGGTCTGCAAACTGCGGCTCGCGAGCCACATGCAGCTCTTTGGGTACGAATGTGTGGCTCTCACGTAAAATTTAAAACGAAAATAAACTATCATAGTTTCCATTTATAAAATTTTTAAAGGATATTATTTACATAATGGTGATTTCATTTGTTTTATGGCTCTTGAATAATTTTTAAATTGTTGTGAGGGACAGGATTGGCTCTTCCATCTCAAAAGTTTGCTGACCCCTGCTCCAGCCCAACCAGCCAACAGTGTGGGTAGGTAAGGAGCTTGTTCTCCGCCTCGCGTCTCCCAACCAACCTGGAGGTCATTTTCTCCTGCTCCAAGTTCCAAGGCGGATCTCTTACCTTGGAGCTAGCTCGTTGGAGGGCTCTTGCCATGAGGTGGCGCCTCAGCCTCAGGAATGACAGCAGAAATGCAGCAAGGAATCTAGGTCATGGCCATCAGTCCCCTTAGCCACTGGCAGTGGCTCCAAGTGTGGGTCCCCAGTGACTCTTGGGGGACCCTAACCTGGTGTAGGTTATGCAGTGGTATACTAGTTCTGAGAGCCACCAGCACCCAGCTAGCCCCACACCCTAATTCAAATCAAACTCACGTGTGTGAAGCAACTACCACTGATTTCATCTATCAGCACACCAAACCTGTGCCCATTTTAGAGATGGGTTAGCTGAGGCCCGCGAAGCATACCGTAGGCTATCTGAGGCCACAGGACTTAGAAGTAACAATAGTGGGGTCTAGCGCAGGTCGGTCTGACCCTGTAGCTAGCGTTCTTTCCATTACCCCCTGCCCAGGGTAAGGACTATTGGCCTGAAGGCAGGGAGGACCCATGTGGGTTGGAGACCATGCTGTGTCATTGTCCTGAGACAGATCAAAGGGTTTGACAGCCAGGGCTGTGCCACGATTCTGCCTTAGACTTTAGGAAGCCATGGACATCGGAGTCACGCAGGAGCATTTGTGTGGGACAGGAGTGTCTGGACCAGGAGGGAGCCAAGCTCAGAAATGGCCTCCATGAGCACGTGGTGGAGTTTCTAGCTTCAGAGCTCGCCAAGAAGAGAGCCTGGAGCTGATGGTTTCAGTGCTGGGGCCAGGGACAAAAGGAACTGAGCCTTCTCCCACACCTTCCACCTGAGGTTCCTGAGAGGCAATAAAGCTTGGTGGTTAGAGCGTGGTGCCTGGTGTCTGAATGGGGCTCAACCAGCCCTAACACGCCTTTCTGAGCCTCAACATCCATGTCTGTAAAATGGGCACACTACTAATACTTACCTCTCAAGGTTATACTTGATGATGCATGCAAACCACCTATCACATACGAGGTCGGACAATTAAGTTCGCGAACTCATCCTAGAAAAAGTGCTACATACCTCATTACTGAATATCACTACAGTCACCTTTGAGTACTCCCCTTGGGAAGCTATGCACCAATGCCAGCGCCTAATCCACCCTTCAAAGCAATTTTGGAACTCTTTCTGGAATGGCCATCAGAGCTGTGGTCGTTTTACCCTTGATGTCCTGAGTGTCATCCAAATGTCTTCCTTTCAATATTTCCTTTATCTTTGGGTAAAGAAAGAAGTCACTGGGGGCCAGAGCAGGGGAGTAGGGAGGGTGTTCCAATACAGTTATTTGTTTACTGGCTAAAAACTCCCTCACCGACAGTGCCGTGTGAGCTGGCGCATTGTCGTGATGCAAGAGCCATGAATTGTTGGCGAAAAGTTCAGGTCGTCTAACTTTTTCACGCAGCCTTTTCAGCACTTCCAAATAATCAACTTGGTTAACTGTTTGTCCAGTGGTACAAATTCATAATGAATAATCCCTCTGATATTAAAAAAAAAAGTTTAGCAACATCATTGCAACAAGTTCGTGAACTTGATTGTCAGTCCTCATAACTTGACTCAGGGGAGAGGCGTGAGAGATGGCAACCGGCACCACCATCATCATCACTATTACTGATTATTGGCTGTTGCATTTCCATTAACTGCCTGTCTGCGGGAGATGGAAAGAAACTCTTCCAGCAGGCACCTTTTTCTCAACGGGTAGTGATGGTAAAACAATCTCACTTGCCTAACCACTTCACCTAAGTGTTACTTAACTGACAGGATAGATTATTTTAGGGAGAAAAATATCCATCAAGCTCTTAAGTATGCCAGTCGTTAAAGGTTTCCATGACAACCCACACCTGGATGTTCCCGGGGGAGGGCAGCCACCGCAGGGAAGAGTCAAAACTGAAATCAAGAGATGTGGAGAGGGCCCTACTGCTCTTGTTACTTTTCTGGCTGTTTGTACAGCCCTGGACAGACCGCTTTACACAGGTCATCTCTTATAAACCTCACCATGACCCTACGGGATGAGGACTGTTATTCTTAGCCCCATTTCACAGGTGAAGAAACAGACTCAGAGAGGTTTACACTTGCCCAAGGTCAGTCTTGTCAGCCTAGAGCGCTTAGCCTAGAGCAGGGGTTCTCAACCTCGGCACGATTGACATTTGGGGCCTGATCATTTTTTGTTGTGGGGCTGTTCTGTGTGCTTAGATGTTTAGCAGCATCCTTGGCCCCTACACACTAGATGCCGGTAGCGTCTCCCTCCTCGTCCCAGGTGTGACAACCCAAACTGTCTCCAGACATGGCCAGAGGTGCCCAGTTGTTCACTGCCGGGCTGGGCGATAATCACTTGTAACACTTGTACGGCATTCTATGCTCATAAAGCTCTTTCACAGGACCTGTCTCATGGGATCCACATGTGATTGTGTGACTTTGGGGTCCTTCATGGTAAGGATTCTGGAACCCAGGGATGAGCCTAGTGCATGAGTCAGGGGAGGTGCTCAGAAACCAGGGTCAAACTCAACTGTCTGTCCTCCTCGTGGGACAGACACGTCTCTCAGTATCAACTTGTTTTATGGTGATAAAGGGAACTGAGGGTCAGAGAGGAGGAGGGACCCCAGGGGTCCCACAGCCTGTGATCTGCAGCCCTGCGAAGGGGCCCAGTTGAGTCTGACTTGAAGCCAGTAGCCTCTAAGGACTACTGATCCCAAAGGCATTTATTTTGTTCACACACTACCACCCAGCTCAGCTTACTGTGCTGCATCACACACGTGAGGAGGGGCCAAGGCAGCCTGAGTCACGCCCCCACCCCTTGCTCAGAACCCAGATGTCCTGGCGGATGTCAGGCCCTTGGCGACACATAGGACAGGGGCATGAGTGGAGGGCTGTCATCATCCTGCGACTCCAGAGGAGAATGAAGGATATTTCAATGAAAGCAGCTTTGATGCAGTCAGCGGTCCTCCTAAGGAGGATGCGGGCATTACGTGGCTTGGGCATCGATTTCCCAAGCTACACTCATGAGCTACCACACTTAATCTTCTCAGCAATCAGCAAGGATAAGCTGCCATCTCCATTGACAAAATCTGAGGCTCAGAGAGTCAGTGACAGCCCCGAAGTCACGCAGCCGGGGAGCCACGGCCTGTCTGGGACTAGAGCCCTGGTGAACCCATCCCATCAGCTGCTCCCAGGAGCCACGTGAGGTCTGGTGCCTTCCAGGCAAAGCTCTCCCTGGGCACGCAGTCCTTGACCAAGGGCTGATAGTAGCTGCTGTATAGAGACCCCAGCCCCCTCGCCCCTGAAGTGATGCTCTACGCTGCCTCCCAGCGTCCCCAGTGGGATGCAGCTCCAATTGCCCGCAGCGATTGCTTCATTATCTGCTTTCCTTCCCTATCTCACAACCCCACTTCCCTACCGGAGTCTCCTGGGATCACTTCCCAGATGAAGCACTCAAACCCTTGTCTCAGGGTCTGTTTCTGGAGGAACCCACACTGCGAGAGTGATGATTATGAGAACGGTCATTGCAATAGCTAATATCTGTGGAGTGCTTCCTACATGCTCTGCAGACACTTCTCCCGTTTAATACTCATGAGAGCCCAGTCACACAGGCATTATCATCATCATCATCATCGTCGTCGTCATCATTATCATCATCCTCACTTTACCGATGAGGAGCTGAGGCTTGGAGAGCTTGAATCATGGGTATAAAGTCGTACAACTCGTAACTGTCACATCTAGGTTATGAACCCAGATCTCTGGAACTCCACAGTTTGAAGATTATCACCTCTGTGCCACCCTGTGTCCTGGTTTTATCTTCTATTGTCTGTAAGGAGGAGAGGGCGGCACGAGGGGGAGAAAGGGCTGTATCTCAGTTTGGGTTTTTTCCTCCACTGTGAAGTTTCAGCAGGGAGTTGCTGGACAGCTCCTAGGGCCAAGCGCTCCCCCAGGGAGGGGCGGGGAGTCAGCGTCCTCCCTCAGCATCCTGCTTGACACTGCCCTTTACCTGCAGTGTAATTAATTAGTATGAATAGATCACCTACTTGTATGCCAAGTATTGTCCTCCGAGATCTCAGACATGCCAACAAAGTCTTCACAGATCTCGGAAGAGGCAGAGATCTGTGCTGTTTTCTCCAGCACTGGAGATGAGAGCGGAAGCCACGCCCCTCCATCTGAACCCCTGAGATGCCCTCGCGTGTACTGACAAGAAGAATTGGGGTGAGTATGAAGGCATCTCTAGCCACAGGAGGAAGGGACCTAGTATGTATTACGCTCTCTCCATGTTCCTGGAACTACATGCACATTATCTAGCGCAGGGTTTCTCAACCTTAGCCCTAGTGACATTTTGAGCAGGATAGTCCTTTGTTGTCAGGTATTTTTCTGCCTCCCGGAAGCCCTGCAGGGCGTGGGGGTGGCACTAGGGGATGACACAGTTCCCCTGTTGTTTCCGTGTGTCCTGAGCAGGAAGGGGGAACTGCACTGTCGTGTCTCCTCTGGATTGGCAGCTCAGAAGGACCCAGACAGCAGAATCTATAGCTGTGACGTGTCTGTGACGTGTCAGATGTAACAGCTGCTTCTGTCGGACATGGCACACTGCTGTCCACATCTTACTGGGGTCATTTAGGTCAGGAAAGCTCGAGGCAAACCCTGGGTCTTTGAGGAGCCCGGCAGAAGGTACAAACGCACGGGAATGAGCAGGAGATAATCTCATCTAGGCTCCCTCCTAGCATTCAGGCCTCGGCTTAAATGTCACCGCTTTCCAGGCGACCCCTTGGCCATCACGGCTGATGTACCCACGCAAACGCTGGGCACACCATCCTCTTCGCCATTTCCCTCAGAGCACTTATTGTCGGAAACGAGCTTCCTTAGTTATATGTTAATTAACCTTTTTTAACACACTTCCTTAGTTATATGTTAATTAACCTTTTTTAACACGCCGTCTCCCAACACCAGAATGGGAGCTCCATGGGGGTGGGACCACCCTGCTTTCTGTCTCTATGGATTTACCTATTCTAGATATCTCATATATGAGTAAATGGAATGATATGGTACGTGGGCTTTTGTCTTTAAGATTCATCCATGTTGTAGCATGTATCAGTACTTCATTCTTTTGTATGACTGAATAATATGCCATCATATGGACCTACCACAATTTGTCCATCCATTCATCCATTGATGGACATTTGGGCTGTTTCCACTTTTTGGCTATTGTAGTGCTACCATGAACATTCATATACAAGTTTTTGTTTGAACACCCATTTACAATTCTTTTAGATATCTACCTAGGAGTAGAGTTGCTGGGTCATGTGGTAATTTTATGTTTAACTTACTGAGGAACTCCTAAACTGTATTGCATAGTGGCTGTACCATTTTACATCCCCATCAGCAATGTATGAGGGTTCCATGTCTACGTTAACACTTATTTTCCTTTTTTTTTTTAAATTATGGCCATCCTAGCGAGTGTGAAATGGTACCTCATTGTGGTTTTGATTTGCATTTCCCTGATGACTAATGATGTTGAACCTCCTTTCGTGTGTTTGTCGGACATTTGTATTTCTTCTTTGCAGAAATGTCCATTCAAATCCTTTGTCCATTTTTTGTTTTAGCTGAGCGATCCTGCCACCTGTTGGCAGCTCAGCGGCAGCTCAGCTTGGGCCAGGCATCGAACCACTGTTGCTTAGAGCTCGCACTCCTGAGCGAGCTCTTAACCAACTGAGCCACTCGGCCGGCCCTCCTTTGCCCATTTTTGAATTGGGTTGTTTGTCTTTTTGTTATTGAATTGTAAGAGTTCTTTATATATTCTGGATACTAGACTCTTTTCTGATATATAACTTCCAAATATTTTCCCCACTTAGGTGGGTTGTCTTTTCATTCTTTTTTTTTTTTTTTTTAAAGATTTTTTATTGGGGAATTGGG